ATTCTTCTGAAGCTGCTTAATTGCCGCTTCTTCCTTCGTCCTGGAAGCACATTCTTGTTTCTCTGCTTCCAAAGCTTTGTGTTTCTCTCCCAATTTCTCAAAATACTCCTTATGTCTTGCTAAGCGTTCAACTGATCTGAAAGATGGGGCTACTAGGACGGTAAGTTTGGATTTGATGGTTCTCACAGATGCTGCAGTAGAAGATGTCAGAGACCAACAATCTTCTCCAGCATGGTATTTCAGATCACCCATCTCTGAGACGGTGAACTGCTAGAAACAGAGAGTATCCTGACCCAGCGGCATAGCTGCTGGACAAAAATTTCCAAACCCAAGAAATGGGAGCGTTGAAAGATTTTTCCCTTGAGCTGCTGGCCAAATATTTCGAAACCAGTAAGAGAGGACCATTATTATTTAGAACTTCAATTAAATCATTGAATTGTAATGTAAGTAGAAGAAATGGAGAGACAAACCAAATGACGAAGGAGAAGAAGAAAGAAAAGGTTACGGAGGTTAACGTAAACAGAGATAGAACGGAGCGAAAAGTAGTTATGTTATATGCGGTACAATAGCTGAAACTTATTGTACAACAATCAAATGCTTTAATTTACACCAACACATTTTCTATACCTAAGTTGCCCAAACCCTCATTGGGCCTTATAAGTTTTTAGGATTACGTTTGTCCTTGGCAATCTGGCAACTTAGGTAGTGGAGTATCACATTCTGAGAACCAAACGACTTGGTGGGAATTTCGTTCGCAGAATGTAGGATTACCTTAATTACTAGTATTGACGCGTGTAAAAGAATGTATGATAATAATATGAGATTAACTTAAGTTGTTTGATTCACCAAGTGCTTTACTCCATATGTCCCGTTTTGTGTGCCCAGTATCCTTTTTGGTTTGTCCAACAATTATATCCAGTTTGTTTTTTGAACTCTACCTTTTTTCTTTTCTGTTTTACCTTTTTCTGATTTGGCATTTGGACAATGTGTGCAATTTTTTAATAAAAGTTAACCACTTAACCTACTTTTGGAAGGAAAATTGCAAAGCTAACCAAATGTGTCATTTGTTTCCTTAATATGCGCTCAAAAAGAAATTGGAATCTAATAATTTAGGACCGAAGGAATATTTCAAATTGTTAAAGATAAACTTGGTATAGTCTAATTTTACCTGGCCTTTAAAGTAAGCTCCTATTTCCCTAAACCATATTCTGCAATAGTCCTATTACATAAGATAATCTAACAACTCCTGAATTAAATATTGTCATTTGGCTAACTGATTTAGCTTTTCAACATTCTACTGTGCAGGATAGGGAGATCATGCGTGTTCTTGTGGAGTGCTGCTTGCAGGAGAAGACATTCAATAAGTATTACTGTGCATTAGCATCTAAGTTATGCAGCCACAATAAAAACCACAAGTTCACTCTGCAGGTATGGTGAGAACTACTGAGAACAATGATAACATATCTAGATTTTGGTGCCATTTGGTGAGGGCTCCTTTGCTGTGAGTTCTATTAAAGGAAAGTTGTTTGATAACATGTGTTTCAACTTTCAGACAAGCAAGTCAAAAGCTAGTTATTCGGCTTATTCTGTGAATTTACTGATAAGCAGAGTGAGCCCAAAATATGGCTACCAAATGGCCCTTGAATAAATTTCATATTGCCAAGTAAAAGAGCTACTTATGCACCATATTTGGTTCATTTCGTTTATAAGCAGAATAAGCCCGAACTGGCCACCAAACCCACGCTTGAATATGTGTCATGTAGGACGTATAGTCGTCACACATTTATTTTGTAATGCAGTATTGCCTTTGGGACCATTTCAAGGAATTGGAGTCGATGCAGCTGATGAGATCAATGCACCTCTCTAAATTCGTCGCGGAGATGCTTTCCTCTTTTACCCTTTCTCTTTCTGTCCTGAAGGTGGTCGACCTGGGTGGTATTACATCATTAATCCCTAATAAGATTATGCACTTCCGTATGCTTTTTGAGGCCATTTTCGAGTTCTCAGATGAACTTGTGTGGAACATCTTCAGTCGGTTAGCTTTGCCGGAGTACGAAACCCTTTGTAATGGGATTGACATATTTATAAGAGCGTATGTTCTATCTGGTGGTAAGAAGTCTTTGGCTGGTAAATTTAAGATTGCCAAGAAGGCTTTAACAATGTTGAAGGGGTATTAATGTGAGCATTTGACTGGTTTTAATGCAGCTTTTTATGTAGGATGAAATGATAGACAGTGAAAACAGCGCAGGAAAATTTTGTTAAGTTATGCATTGAGCACATTTTGCTATAAAAAATTGAACAGTGACACTATTTTCTGTAATTTTCTCCAGAGTTATTTTATCTTTCCCAAATTCCCAATGTTACATGGGCATCATGGTCGATGGGCGATCTCACATATGGTTCAGTCATCTTTCTTTCAACTTGATTAATGTTTACGTACACAAAAAATTGATGGAGGTAACATAATTCTTGAAAAACATCTACTCATCAATTGTGGACTAAATTCTCTTTTTTTTGTTTAAATGAAAATGTTTTTTTTTTTTTAAATAAAAATACTATACTCCACACGAAACTCCAAATAGTAAATCAATAAATAAATGAAAAGCTCAAAAAGTAAAAGTAACTTTGCACAAAACATTTAGCATAAACAGAAAAATACAATAAAGGTCAAACAATTTTAAAGAACCAAGGGAAAAGGGGCAAAATCCCCCTTCAAGTTTGCACCAAAGGGCATCTAAGGCCTTGAACAGTTGAACTATTTTGTTGTGCAAAAAGCTTCAAAATTGGTGCAAGGAGGGCAATAACCCCCTACTAACGGTGAAACATTTAACATAAGTTGTTTCTTGGGTTAGTATGACCGTATGTAGCACAACTTTAATATGAAAGTTTCTGATAATTTTTCTTTTAATTTCAACTTGGTCCTAAAATGAGGACATATTTTCTATCTTTTTAAATAAATGCTACATGTTGAATTTTGCGATATTCACATGCTCTACTTTTACGGAGTATTAAGTTTGACGGAGTGTACACCTACGCTTTATTTATTAATGTATTTATAAATTATCATTTTTAAAAATATTTTTAAATTAGTCTAATTATAAATTTTCATTTTTTGTTCTTTATTAATAGAGAATTATACTCGCTCCGTTACTGAATTAATTTTCAAATATCCCTTTTTGTCCATCTCAAAATAATTTTAATTTGTGGTTCACAACATGTTGTATGCATTCTTACACATTTTTCTCTCTTCAGTACAACGCTCTACCATACAATTTTCCCTTTCTTCATTCCCGTGCAAAACCAACTTTGGAAGATAATTCAGGGACGGATAAAGTATATATTAGTGGTTCACTGGAGATTGTACTGAAAAGAGAGAGAAACATGTGATAATATGTAAAACATGTTATGAACCACAAATTCTTTGAAAAAAAAAAATATTTTGAGATTGACGAAAAAGGAAATTTGAAAATTAATTCAGGGATGGAACAAGTACAATTCTCCATTAATAAAAAAACAAAAAAAATGAAAATTTAAAATGAGACATATTTAAAAATATTTTTAAAAACAATAATTTATTAATACATTAATAAATAAAACTTAGTTAAAGTAGAGCATGTGAATATTGTAAAATTCAACATGTTACACTTATTTAAAAAAGAGAGGAAATATGTCCTCATTTTAGGACCACAATATTCTATATTTACATCTTTAATAGACCACAAGCTGAAATCAAAAGAAAAAAATATCAAAAATGCTTTCAGATTAAAATTGTGCTACACTGCTACATACAGTCATATAAGCAAAGAAACAACTTCGGTTAACTCCTTCACCGTTAGTAAGGGGGTGATTGCCCTCCTTTCATTAATTTTGAACCTTTTTGCACAAAAAATAGTTTAAGGGCTTAGATACCCTTTGGCAACAACTTCAAGGGGTTTTTTGCCCCTTTCCCAAGAACTAATTAATCCTATCCTAATCAACGAGGCTAATGGAGTGTTTGCTAAAGTTTTTAAAAATTGCTTTTCAACTTTTGGCTTAAAAAAAGCTGAAAAAAGTGTTTTCAAATGACAGTTTCTGCTTAAATTAATCACTTAAAAACTAAAAGATGGAAGAAGTGAAAAGGACGCTTAAAATAACCCTTTTCTTGAAAAACCATAATTTGTATTGTTAATGGTACACAGGTTTACCTTTTTCTTCCCTTATATTCATATTGGAAACCTTCTGTTAAATGACTTTCCTATTTCCTGTGGTCAAGTGCTTAGGTGCTCTCAATCCAATTCTCAAGCTTGATTATGCTATTATAACCATAGACTTTTATGCGGCATTCTTGTGGTCATCCGCTGAATTAGGAGTTTCGAGTTTGTAATCTACAAAGGTTTATTTCAGAATTGCAATTGTTTCTTCTACTTCCTAGTTCATGCAAACCTCAATGCACTTTTGAAAACTTGAAATGTATGCTGCATATGAACTTCCTAGCACTGTATATGAAGCACCTCAATATCGGTGTAAACCAGTGTTGAATAAATGTATACAAAAATGAAACTGAGGATAAATAAGTTTCTATCTCTTCTTTCCATTTCCCCTCTGGCTGTCTTTTTCAGTGAAGAGACGTAGATAATGCTACTAGAAAGATCTCTTTGTATTTGTTTATTTGCTATAAATTTGGGCCATTGAGAACTAGAGCTTGCATAAAAGTATAGAACCAGATGGCATAGAAATTAAACCATTTAAGCATGTAACTAACAATGAGTGGGGTCACATGTTGCCTTCGGTTCCCTGGCCAACTCAACTCTGACCTAAGAAAGCTTGCTGTTAATCTAATCCCTTTCCCACGTCTTCACTTCTTCATGGTGGGATTCGCCCCTCTCATCTCCCGCGGGTCCCAGCAATACCATGCCCTTACAGTTCCTGAGCTGACTCAGCAAATGTGGGATTCCAAGAACATGATGTGTGCCGCAGACCCACGCCATGGCAGGTACCTCACTGCCTCAGCAATGTTCAGGGGGGGAATGAGCACCAAAGAAGTGGATGAACAGATGATCAACGTGCAGAACAAGAATTCATCTTACTTTGTTGAATGGATTCCAAACAATGTGAAGTCAAGCGTGTGTGACATCCCTCCAAGAGGACTATCGATGGCTTCCACCTTTATTGGAAACTCGACTTCCATTCAGGAAATGTTCAGGAGAGTGAGTGAGCAGTTCACTGCCATGTTCAGGAGGAAGGCTTTCTTGCATTGGTACACAGGGGAAGGAATGGATGAGATGGAGTTCACCGAAGCTGAGAGCAATATGAATGATCTTGTTTCGGAGTATCAGCAGTATCAGGATGCAACTGCTGACGAGGATGGTGAGTATGAAGAGGAAGAGGATCGGAAGAAGAGCCTGAGCAATGATGAATGAGAAGAAGGCAATAAAAATCTTACATGCTATCCTTATATTAGTCCTCCTATTTGTGATAATGAGTTGTATGTTTGGTTGATATATATTTGATGGTTGTTGTGGTCTTTTGGGTGGGGGAGTTGTTGACATTCCCATTTAAATGCCGATGTCACTTTGCATTGTGTACTTTTATATGTTCTGTCATGCTATTGAGTTTGAGTGGCGGTTAATATTTCTATTTCAAATCAAAGCAAAAGCTCATTATTATTAGATAAAAAATTAAGGGTTCATATATTGTTCACTATGAAATCATATGTGCATATATGTTTTTCTATAATCACTCATTTCTAAAATGAAGTTATAATGGAAGATCCCATCATACATTCATACATATAAATTGTTTTATAGGACTCCATCCTAAAATTCCCCTTATAAGATTAGATCATGAATGGTCTTTATTACTCGATCTATTACGTATGTCTGAATGTCAACTGCTTCCTCTTACACTCCAGGGCTCCTTATATATATATATGTGTGTGTGTGTGTATGTATATGTATATATATATGTATATATATATTATAACAAGGGAACCGTGGGAGATAACTGTTCCCGCCCTAAAACCTTTTGTTTATACGTTGGCACATTTAGCACACGTGGCACATGCATTCAACAAAAGTAAATAAAATTGGATACACGTGCCACTACAGTGCATAACATAATTAGTATGGAAATATAAAAATTTAATATATTGAACATAATTTCTAAGACTTTTTGTGTTCATCTGCAAATGAAGAGAAAGGACACACGTGGCAATACAAGTCCCAGATGTGTACACGTGGAAATCTGAAATATTGTAAGGCCTAAATTTTGTTGGATAGATCACATTACATTTTTCGTAGTGGAGGTTGCATATGGCATGCGCAGTTTCCACTCAGAAAACGTGGACGTATCACGTATGGGTGGTTACTTACAATTACCATTATGATCCCGGTAGAAAATAGCATGCTTAGTCCATTATAAACATGTATGCACGGTGTTGGGGGAATGTACTGCAATTACAATTGATATTTTGAATGTTTATATTTATATATACCGTGTCTTCTACATTCGGCACTCCAAGTAATCCGGCCTAGTGCGTAACAGGAGGTACGTTTAAATCTTATGGTTATACACTTTTTAGAATCATTCAATCACAATTTAATTCCAGAACACCAAACTTAATTTGACAATAATCTAATGATCAGATTAAAGCCCCGGTAGGTTATAACTTAACCTTAGTTGACATATCTTTTGGTTTTGATATACGAAGTATTACACACTTACAGTACTAATACACATTATTATCATTATGCTTTTTATTGAAAAATAATAAATAATATATACGAAGTATTATATATATATATATATATATATAGACAAATATTCCTGTCCGGACGTCCGGACAGGAACCGCCGTCCGGACCGCGGCGTTTGGCCGCCTTCCCGGTGGTTTTTTTTGATGAAATTTTTATGGCATGTTCTCCATCAAGTCTAGTTTATCCATAAAAAAATTCAGCCAAAAACTCAATCGGGAAGGTCGTCAAATGATTTTTGCAAGTTAACTGGTCCGGAAAATACATATTCCGGACCAGTTAACTTGCAAAAATCATTTGACGACCTTCCCGATTGAGTTTTTGGCTGAATTTTTTTGTGGATAAACTAGACTTGATGGAGAACATGCCATAAAAATTTCATCAAAAAACGCCACCGGGAAGGCGGCCAAACGCCGCGGTCCGGACGGCGGTTCCCTGTCCGGACGTCCGGACAGGATCATTACTCTATATATATATATATATATATATATGATGACATGCATATTAAAATATTATAAACAATATGTCCTACATAATATTAAATTAAAGTCTGTGTATAGCAATATTGAAATGGAAATAATAATAATGATGATGATGATAAATAATAATAATAATAATAATAATAATAATAATAATAATAATAATAATAATAGGAGACATTTTTTGTAGTGGGGGTGCATGTTACAACCGGCTGAATCTATTTTAGATTTAGGGGTATTTGGGTCTTTGATCTTATTCTTAAAACTGTTTCTGCTTCTTTAGAATGCGGAAGTTGGAGTGTTGGGGTGAAAGCGCAAAAATTATTCTGGTGCTATAATTTACTCCTAGAAACAGTTTTTAAAAAGTTGGAGGAACCAGCTTCTGAAACATTTTGATATAATTTTCACATTCAAAGTAATTTCGTATTAAAAAATATTATTGTTCAAAGCTCATTGTCATTAACTAGGAAAAGTCAATTTAACGAAAATTACAGAGTTTTATTTTCGGGACGGAAGGGGTACTAATAGTAATACTACGTAATAAACACGAAAAAAAAAATGCTATGGACGTGGGGTGCATGCATAATTGGGTCGGATTTTGTATGGGTCAATTTTGATATGGACAGTCCAGGTTTTCATTTCATACAAAAGATATGCTATGAAATACGTAGTAATTAATATCAAATTATCGATACATTTAGTATAAAAATAAATACTGCATATTTTTCTACTACGTTTTACTCCCTCCGTATCAAATTAATTGACCCACTTTCCTTTTTTGGTGTATCAATTTAATTGACCCATTTCCCTTTTTGGAAAGAATCCCACTCAAAAAGCAGCTACAGTACTGCTACAGTACCGCTACAGTGTCGCTACAGTACCAAAAACCTCTTACTTTTAATAAAGTCTACAGTAATTGTCTTAAACTGCGTGAAAAAGAAACGGGTCAATTAATTTGATACGGAGGGAGTATACATTATACAAAAAGTACTATCGTATATAATAAAAGTTTGTAGTAGTCACCCTTTTACGAATCTTCACAAATCTATTTATATCGAAACGCATTTAGTTTTATATGTATTTTAGCATAATATAATAACGGGTAACGGGATAAGGGTCAGTTTGGTCCTCGAAGTTGCAAAAAAGGGGTCAAACAAATCCTTATATAGAAGATTCTGTCCGGACGTGTCATTTGAGGTGGCTCCTGGTGAAATTTTTTGATGAATTTTTTTGAGCATATTATTCATTAAGTCTATTTCACTCATACCAAATTTTAGATAAAAAATTCAATCGGGAAGACATTCAAATGAATTCTCGAACATAACTGTGCCGTTAAAATCGCTGTTATCTTCAAGAATTCATTTGAATGTCTTCCCGGTTGATTTTTTAGCTAAAATTTGGTATGAGTAAACTAAATTTAATATGCTCAAAAAAATTTATCAAAAATTTCCACCGGGAGCCACCTTAAATGGCACATCCGGACAAAATCTTTTATATAAGGACTTATTTGACCCCTTTTTTGCAACTTCGAGGACCAAACTGTCCCTTTACTCAGATAATAACTTATATGCTCTTTATGCTAACTTTTCCCCATAGTCCAATGTCCATAAAACAAACATATACTCCCTCCGTCCCGTAAAGAAGTTCCCATTTTCCTTATTTAGATGTCCCAAAAAGAAGTTCTTCTATCTTTAAATGGCAAGTTATTTACATCAAAACAGTACCAAACAGTGCAAAACAGTGTCAACAGTGTTAAACAATGTTCAAACAGTGTCAAAACAGTAAAATTTACCCCCTGATAAGCTTATTTCCTTAATATGTGTGTAGGTCAAACCGGGAACATCTTTGCGGGACGGAGGGAGTATATTTTACATAATAATTTAATACGTAGTATGAAATACATAATGAATAAAATAAAGAAATAGTTTTGTCCCGTGCATCGCACGGGTACGATACTAATTTAGATTAGATATGATCCGTATTACCCAAGTGTTTGTGTATTTAAGATTCCTATTATTATTATTATAGCATATATAATATTCTAATGCAATTATGTGAATGATTTTTATATGTAGGGAGTGTAACACCATCAAAAAAAAATGTAGGGAGTGTGACAAACAATATATCAACTTTTTTTTGTTTTTTAGATAGGGAGTGTTCAAATTTATGTTTGCACTCATAAGTAGGCCGGTCAATGGGTCGGGTCCGGGCCGGAACGTAGTGTTCCAGACCCGGACCCGCTAAGTTAATAATGGACCCATACCCGACCCGTTTACCCGGCGGGTCTGAAAATTTGGACCCGGACCCAGACCCAACGGGTCTCGGAACCGGGTCGGGTAGACCCGCCAAGTATGATACCGCTATAAATTTTGTGAAAATAACAAGACCTCTATGTGAAATGTAAAGAAAAGTGTGCAAACTAAAAAGCAAAATATATCCTCACTTTTTAAAAAAAATCAAGGTTTATCATGTTATTACTTTTATCCAATAAAGTATTGGTTCTTGTGTATAACTCAACAATCTGTGTCGCTTTTTCTCGTACATAGAGCTCGTAGCATAAACTTCAAATTAAGTCACAAAAGATGTCTTGGACTATTGAGAGTATAAAAACATATTGTATGGAGTGTATGATAATGATATAATAATATTAATAATACACATTTATCACTATGAATAAACGGTCAAAATGGGTATTAATTTAATACATACACTAATAGGTATGTATTAGTGTGTGTATTTTCAATTGAAGAATTACAACTAATAATTTTATGTATTATTATTATTATTATTATTATTATTATTATTATTATTATTATTATTATTATTATTATTATTATTATTATTATTATTATTATTATTATTATTATTATTATTATTATTATGTATATGTGTGTGTGTATAGTTTGTAATTTTTTACTTGAAGTGTTATAATTAATTACTTTATATATTAGAGTGTTTGTATACAAATAAGAAATTTTAAACGGGTCCGGGTCCTTAACGGGTCGGAATCATATGTACCGTACCCGACCCGTTTGTTAAATATACTAACGGGTCCGGATCCGGATCCGGATAAACGGAATAAAATATAGACCCATACCCGTTAAAAATAACCGGGTCCGTGTCGCGCGGGTCCGGGTCTAGACCCGA